CGTTGACGTTTCTTAATTGGTGAATCGATATCCGCATTTGCTCTTTTATCATACTCCCACCATCCACTATGTCATTCATAATACCAACCACGACGAGGTACTACGGTATCAAAGTCTAAGTTATCAATTGCTGTCACTGCGCTTGTAGCTGTTGTTGGTGTCTGAACTTCAACAACATCAGGTCGATCAAAATATTGTCTTGGAAATGGTTTTCTACATCATAAATGATACACATTACTCTTCGAATTCAAACAGTATTTTATCAATTATTTCTTACCTACATAAAGCACAACTATGATTTAGATTTGCAGCACCTTTTGTGCACAAGAAACAAAATATGTGGCCGCACGGAAGTCGTACTGGATTGACATAGGAAAGTAGACAAACAGAACAAGTATCAGACCCAGTTGTTTCCGGATTAGAATCTGAAATCATTTGTACTCGCTATAATGAAAATGGATAAACACATTTTATTTTTATTATCGTGTCTAAAAATGCTCAGCTGTAAAAACAAAGTCTATTATCCTCAAAGAAATATGCAGACAATCCCATCTTTTTCCATAGTTGCTCTTATCAATGTCACAGATAGGGATGTTCGGTTCTTCGTTCCAGAACCGAGAACCACGGTTTTGGAACGGAAATGGCGATTTCGATTCTCGAGTTGGAACCGAACCGAAAAGAACCACGGTTCTTGGTTCTCAGCTTAGAACCGAAGAAGAATTTTTCAGGCAGTAACAATCCAACAAAATAAAATCCATTTTATAGTAAACGAAAGGATTCTACTAAATATTGGCAGGCAAATATATCTTTTTGCAGCTTTGTCAATAGTGTGTTTTCATTTTATTAAAAGAAAGGCAAGACAAAAAGATTATGGGTACAAGGACAATTTTCTTCTATAGTAGAATTTAACACAAATATTTGCAAGATCTTCACAGGACTTTTTAGGAGGGCATTTTAGACGAAATCTGATAGATGTACGAAAAATGCAATATCTTAAGAACGAAACGAAATCTCGAGAAAGGATAACTTTTTTTTCATGCCGTTATGAGGTAATAGTAAAACATGAAGACACCCACAGACAGCTACACGAACATCCAAACAGGAGATGTCTGTGTAGCTGTCTGTGGATATCTGTGTGCTATCTGTGGGTGTCTTCATGTTTTACTATTACCCTGCCATTATGGCCAGTATATAGACATAATAATATTGGCTTCATCTCTTATTTAAGAAGAGTTGATGGGTTTGTCAGATATAGAAGATCTCATGTAAAAGAAGAAAAGCACAAGTATATCTTATGAACGCTAAATATAGTTTTGTCGAAATAAAACTGTAGTATCTATGGTTAAAAAAATCTCGGTTTCAAAAAAAGGAACCGTCTACAAAACCGCGGTCCCGATTCCATTCACAGAGTCGATAGCACGGTTCCGGTTCCTGATGAAGAACCGAAAACAAGAGAACCGCGATTCCAGTTCTTAACGAGAACTGAAAATCCCTAGTCATAGATAAACAGGTATTATACAGAAACAAAACGTAAGAAGGTGGTGTAAACAAGTCGAGATACGTCAGGAGCAAAAGTTAAAAACAAGACTCCACAATCAACGCAAATGTTTGATTATTTATTTCGATTATGATGATTTGCTTCTAGAATTTGCTCTGGTATGTGGACAAACGGAACGAACTGCATCTCTATCTCAATTTTTTTCTCCATACACTTCCATTTATACTACCAGCGTTTTCGATAGAAGTTTTGATGGGAGGTGGAGAGTCTGTTGAGTAACTAAAGTTTTTTCTTGAGTAGAATTTTTTTCTGAGTAACTGCATGTTTTAAGCTAATTGAAGACTCTCAGTCTT